TCAGTATCCTCGAGCTTCGATCCTCGAACTCCGATCTTCGAACGTCGATCCTGAAACTTCGACCTTCGAATTTGGATCCTCGAACTTTGATCTCAGGGTCTCTCTCTGCTCCCTCCTCCGAGGTCGTCGTGGAGGGCGACGCGGCGGCGGCCTCCATCGAGTTCGAGGACCCCAGCGAGCAGGGAGCCTAGAAGCATGTGGATGTTGCGTTGCGTTGCATCTTCGGGTGACCTTGTCTGTCCTGCACTTAGCGGCGGACTTTTCTTGCACCCGACGCTGGCCCGACATGGATTCGACACGGATTCAACGCGGACTCGGTGTCGATTCCACGCGGATCCGACTTGCCCAACATGGGTCTGGCGCGGATTCGACACGGATAGCTGGCGCCGCGGGACAAAGAAGGTCGCCTCGAAGATGTCCCCAGACCCCAGACGTCGTGTTTTTACAGCGTCGACCCCCAGAGGTCTGGACCCTGTCCCCGTGACCGATTGTTCATCCTGAGTTGTTTCTCACCGTCCCGAGGCCCAGTAAGGGCCCCCAGAGGCCGAACATGGCGAAAAACCTCCCGTCGCGATTCTTTCTCTCACAACGCGAGCGGGTCTGGGTCACCAAGCTGCGACGACAGCAGAGCGACAGAACCGAGCAAGCCACCGCAAGCTGGAGGACCCCAACGCGACGAACCTGGCGGCGTCCGTCTCGCGCTCCCAGACGCAGGTCTTCGTGCCCCCGCCGCTGCCGCCCGCGGCCGGGAGCGAGGCGCCGCCCCCGCAGGACCGGCACGATCGAGATGCGGTCGGCGCGAGGCAGCAGGCCGAAGTCGGTTCGGGGAGGGTGCCCTTACGTCGGGCGTGTCCCCCTACAGGAAGAGGATTCGAAAATTCAAAACATAGTCTGGGAACGATTTGTGGAGCATTTGTGTTGCTACGCTTGACCATTAGAAAAATAATTGTCGCCCAGAATCCGCCTCCCTCCTCGCCCTTGTGCCTCTCGGGGCCTCCCCCTTTCGTTGCTGTTTGCTGGTGGATCGACACGCGCCGGCACTGACGGCGGGGCGACGTCGGGATCTTTCTTCGCGTTTCGGGACGAGCGCTCCGAGGGCGCCCTCTTGCGGCAAAGGCTCCGCAGCCCAGTGGTGCGGTTCGGGGAGGGTGCCCTCATGTCATTTGCGTCTGTTGGGAGCTCTTGTGCGCCCTTGAGGATGGCATTCTCGAGTGATCGGTACGACCGAGGTGTGCACGGAAGGGAGGGGGAGTGGGGGCGGGGCTCAGGGGGGGACAGGCTTGAGGGGGACAGGCTCAGGTTCAAGGTTTTCTTGTATTTTCATTGGTTCTCGGCGGGTTTCGTGCCCCGGTGTGCTCTGGGGGGACCAGATCGTCCCGAACGGCCGCCGGAGAGCCCAGTCATGACCCGAAAACCGCCAGGGGACAGGTCGGACGGGGCTAGGACGAGGGTAAATCCGCTCCAGAGCGTTCCGGAACGCTCTCGGGGCGAGCAGGCCGCGGCGCCCGAGACATCCTCCAGAGCCGCCAGATCTCGGAGATTCCTGATGCATCTTCGCCCGATGTTATCCTCGTCGTGAGTTCGTCCTAGGTAATGGGGGCGGCCCAAAAAAGGGTGATGACAAGGGTGTGTGTGTGTGTGTGTGTGTGTTGCCGGATCTCAGAGGATCTCATCATGACGGAGGCCGTGGTGCCTCCCCGGGTCCCATGGCCCCTCTTCTTAAATCAATGCGTTCCCTGCCCCCCCACCTGGTCCGCGCACATGCCTCGGGCCATGGTATGCGAGCCCCCCTCTTGGACGCCCCCGAGGGCACGCAATTAAGCAGCGGCGAAGAGTCCTGACTCGCCTGTAGGTCCACCAGAGAATGTTCTAAGAACTTGTCGTGCGGTTTCCAGGGATGGTTCTGAGAGCATGTCTGGCTGAGGCAGTCGTGCTACGCTCGGTCGGCTTCATGTTGTAAGAATGTTGTTCCTCCCCAAGCAGTGCTTGCACTCAGGGGTTCTGGCTCCTCTTCTACGGAACAGCGCCTGGCTGGCAGTCTGGCGGATCCTTGCTCGCTGTCGCCGCCCCGTCGCTGCCTCGTCGCCGCCCGGTGTCTGGGCCTGCCTGGCGGTCTGGACCCTCTCCGTGCTCGCCGTCGCCGCCCCGTCGCGCCCTCGCGCAGATTGCACGGCATAGATTCTCCTTTGCCCCAAAAAGCATTAGGATCAAACTCCCTCCCCCTCCGAACTAGCGCCTCACCTTTTGCTTCCGCTTCGTATTGTTTGTCGTATATGATTATGCGCACTCGTCCATCCGAAGTCTGAATTTCATACGATCCCAGGCAGTCGCTTATCGACCCTCCGCCTCATCCTTTGCAGCGAATGCTATGCGCGCACACTCGTGGATCAAAAACCAACAGTTTCGATGATCCCTTGCCCCCCCCAAAAGAAAAACGGGACGAAGTGTGCACGGGCGCGTCCGAGCACATGCCGAAATCCTTCAAACACCCCTGGTGCCGTAAATATTTCAAAATCGAGTGTTCCGAGAACGCATTTCTTTATAACAAGCACATGGTTTCGCGACAAATAGGCCTGTTCTGGCGCTCTGGCGAATTCTTAGCAAGGTCATCAGTTTGTTTAACATGTCCACCACATGCTGCCAACTGTGCCTCTCGCGCGCGCATGTCGAAGTCATTCGAGCGCCCTTGCACGCGTGCTGTCGCAAGAATCCCGTGCGTCGAGCACGCATGCCGAGACCCTTCAAACATCAAAGTTCCCGGAAGGATTTGAACATCGGGTGTCCCGAAACATGATGGCTTCGCAACAAGGATCTTCGAAGAAGCCTGCGCTCGTGCGAGTACTTCAGAAAGCCATGGGTGTCCCAACATTCCCATCACACGCGACCAATCGGGCCTTTCTCGCGCGCAGGTCGAAATCATTCGAACGCCCTTGCGCGCGTGCTGTTGCGGGGGCAAGGTCCCTGTCAAATAATACCATGCGGGCCACTCGCGCGTCGGCCGCCCGCGCATGTCGAAATCTTGTCACAGCCTTCACCACCGACGCGAGGATACCATCATCGCCAACGGCGTGATCAGCATCGGCGCCATCATTGCCCTTGCTGTCGTCATTGTCATCATGACGCCACCAGCATCGCTACAATCACCCTTGTGTCTGGAGTTATCGACTCGCACTGAAGTGCCCGCGCGCCAGCCCGGCCTATGAGACGTGCTGGAAAGTCCCCAGCGGTCAGCGCCACCGCGTCCGCGTCGGTCGCGTCAGATTTGCTGGTCTTTCCGCGCGCGAGGCTGCGCGCTAGCGCGGCCGCGATGATGCGCCAGCCAGCGCCGAGCAGTCATCGCAATCGCAGCCGCATGGGTTGTGCAAACCAAGCTGCGGGCGGGTGGGTGGGATGTTTGCGCGAGCAATGGAATTCAGCATTTCAAATCCGGCAGGGTGAATTGCACCACGCAGATCTCCTCTAGGATCTACCAGCTCCCCCCCGGACTGATCGGGACCCCCTGGCAGTCATACCATCCCAGCCGATCAAGTATCGACCTCTTCCCCTCATCCTCGCCGAATAAGGTTTTGGGTGCCCTATCGCTGCTCAAAACCAACAGTTGTCATACACCTCTTGCCAACAAGCGTTCCGAAGTCCACCCGCGCGCGTCGTCGCGCGCCCATGCCGCATTCCTTCAAAAAGCGTTGGTTTCGCAAGGCGGTCAACATCGAGTGTCCCGAAAACAGATCAACCACTTATGGTATTACAACAGGGCTGTTCTAAGAAAGGTCGGCGCGCGCGCGCTCTTGCGAAACCTTTTTAAAAAAGCCACACGCGTTTCCACAGTTCAATCACATTCGATCAAACGGGCCTTCCGCGCGCGTGTCGAAATCGTTCGAACGCCCATTGCGCGCGTGCTGGGGGGATGGGGGCACGATCCTTGTCAAAGAAAGCCATGCGAGCCACTCGCGACCGTCGGCCGCGCACGCATGCCGAGATCGTTCCCAAACCTTCAGCACCGACACGTGGGCACCATCTTCGCCTTCGGCGTGATCAGGATCGACGCCGTCACTGGCTTCGCCGTCGTCATCGTCATCGTCGCCACCAGCACCGTTACAATCATCGTCGTGTCTGCCGATGTCGACGTCGCCATGATACCGCGCCCGGAAGTCGGGCTGGAAAACCGCGCTGGAAAGTCCCCAGCGGTCAGCGCAAACTCGGCCGTGTCGGTCGCGCCAGAGTAACTGGCCGCTTTGCGCGCGAGCGTGCGCGCGCTAGCGCGGCCGCCGCGATGCGGCAGCCAGGTCATCTCAATCGCAGCCGCACGGGTTTCGCAAACCTAGCTGCGGGTGAGTGTGTGGGATGATTGCGCGAGCACCGACATTGACAATTTCAAGTTCGGCAGGCGGGTTGCCCTGCATAGACTGCACCGCAAGTCTTGCACCACCTTGGTTGCACCACATAGATAGCACAACATAGGTCGCGCCACATAGGTTGCACCACAGTCTGCACAACACATATTTCACCACATAGATTGCACAACGTAGTATGCACCACCTAGATTACACCACGTAGCTTGCACCACGAACATTGCTTCACATACATGGTCCAACATCTATTGCACCACCCCAAAAACATATACAAACACACGGCTTCGCAACACCAGCTTTCAAACGTTGCGCCCGCGTTCTTGCGGATTCTCCGTGGAACCATAAGCCCTTCGCTATTCATGGAATTCGGCCAAACGGGTTTTTCGCGCCGCATGTCGAGATCATTCGAACGCCCTTGCGCGCGTGTTTTGGGGGGCACGATCCGTGTCAATCAATACCATGGTGGCCACTCTCGCGCGTCGGCCGCGCGCGCGTGCCAAACTCTTTCCAAAACCTTCATCACCGACGCGAGGACGCCGTCCGTCGTCGTCGTCGGCGTGATGAGCATCGGCGCCGTCGCTGGCCGTGCCGTCGCAGTTGTCCTCGTCACCAGCGTCGCTATTATCATCACCGTCAGCATCATCACCATCATTATCATCATCGTGTCTACCGTTTTCGAAGTTGCCATGGAGCCGCGCCCGCCAAAGTGACCGACTCGCGCTGAAGTGCCCAGTGGGAGTGCCCAAACGTCAGCACCACCGCGGCCGCGTCGGTCGCGCCAAACTAGAAGGCCGCTGCGCGCGCGAAAATGCGCGGGCTAGCGCTGCCGCAGAGAGATGCACCAACCAACACAAAACACTCATCGCAATCGCCGCCGCATGCGTTTTTCAAAACAAGTTGCGGGTGGGTAGGTGGGGCGATTGACCGAACAGCGGAGTTGACAATTGCGAGTTCCACACGTGACTTACACCACTTAGATCGTGCAGCATGGATCGCACGGTATACACTGCACCACACTGGTTGCACTGCATGAATCGCACCACCTAGGTTGCATCCTATATAGTGACCCACATAAGTTGCGCCACGTATGTATATACATACATGTGCAACTACATATACACATTCCTATACATATACATATATAATAAGGGCCATACGTATACATATACATATACATACACACATACATACATACATACATACATACATACATACATACATACATACACATTGTTGGACAACGAGTTTCCAACACATATTGCTAGATACTTATTGTTTGGGACTTACGTTGGCTAACATTGTTGTTCTTAGAGCATGTTTTAGTTCTGAGAGGTTTTCGTGTTACGCCAATCGGGATGCCGGTACTGTCGGTCCTTGCTCAACAGAACGGGTACGAAGACCGACAGCCGTTTCTGATTTTTTTGAACCAGATTCGTTGTCGGTGGCGCTTGGGAGATGTCCATTTGAGACAGGCAGTCGCCTGCCCAACAACTGCTGCTGTGGATTTGGGACATGTGCTTGTGGGCATCGTACCCATTTTCTCCGTGCCCATTCGGGCGTGCCAACAGGAGGCCGAGAAGCAGATCACCATCCTCGGCGTGGACTCCCGCCGTGGAAAAATCAGCAGCGCGCTCGTGGGGGACACGGAGTTTCGAGGTTCGAGGTTTTCGGGCGTGTTCGACGGTCCTCGGCCTCGGGATGCTTGCCAGCAGCTGCGCCTCGCCGAGAGGCGTACAGGGGTGCCGGGATCGTCCCAAACGGATGCCAGAGACCCGAAATACCCCGAAAACTACACGACGAGGACCATGGAGGGGGCGGGCTTTCTCAGAAAGTTCAGAAGGCCTTTGGCCTTCCGAGAAGCTGCCTGGTGGGCTTTCTCCGAAGCCACAGGGGGGCTTCTGAGAAGGCCAGAGGGCTTCTCAGAAGCCCCGCCGCCTTCTGTGAAGGCGTACCTACTCTCACCCCATCGGCGCGCCGTCGAAAAATCCCAGACCTCCAACGCATTGAAAAAGTTCAAACAAAGTGTTCCGCCGTTTTCCGCATCGGGGGGCCCTCGCCAGACCCCAGGACCGTCACGCTACGGTTCAGGATGAAAAGCAGGCCTAGGGGGAAGTGGTTGTGACTTCCCTGGGCCCTGCGCTCAACAACTCAAGACGTCGGACGTCTGGGAACAACCCACGGCCCCATAACTGGCGATTGCTGAGCGGTCCTGCGCGTTTTTGCTGAACCGCCCTGTCCTGTTCGGTTCTTTCTCTGGATGCGTTTGCCAAAGGGCCTCGATTCTAAGGGTGGTCTTTGTGTGGGTGGTTACTTTGCCATGTTAGGACTGCGGCATGAAGAACAACATCATCCGCTATTTCGTGGAGAGCTTGCGGGTCATGTGGGCCCCGGAAGCCAGGACTTGGCAAACCAGGATCTTGCCAGATCCAGCGGGAGAAAACGCAGATCTGACGAGGTTTCGACCTCCGGCTGCAGTTTCCTCCGGTGCGCCGAGGCCCCTGTTTGCCAGCACCCCCGCCTGCGGGACCCGGAGGTCAAGCTGGTCGTGGTGCCGTGGGACTACGACTTCACGAAGGACGAGTTCGACGGCCTCTTCCTGAGCAACGGGCCCGGCGACCCCCTGAAGTGCGAGAAGACCATCGGGCACGTGCGCGAGGTGATGCTGCGGCGCCCGACCCTGCCCATCTTCGGCATCTGCCTGGGCAACCAGATCCTCGGGCTCGCGTCGGGGGCCAAGACCTACAAGATGAAGTTCGGCAACCGCGGCATGAACCAGCCGTGCGTGGACATGCGCACCACCCGCTGCTACATCACCCCGCAGAACCACGGCTTCGCCATCGACAACGCCTCGCTGTCGGACGGCTGGATGCCGCTCATGATCAACGCCAACGACGGCAGCAACGAGGGCATCATCCACAGCGGCCGGCCGTGGTTCTCCGTGCAGTTCCACCCCGAGGCGTGCGGCGGACCGACCGACACGGCCTTCCTCTTCCACCAGTTCCTCAACAACATCACCAGCCCCGTCCAGATGGTGACGACGATCCCCTACTCGCCGCCGGCAGTCTACCGCAAGGCCCCTCGGCGGCGCGCCTCCTCCTCCTCCTCCTCCTCCTCCTCCTCCTCCTCCTCCTCCTCCTCCTCCTCCTCCCGCCTCCTCTTCCTCCTCCTCCTCTTCCTCATCCTTCCTCCTCCTCCTCCTCCTCCTCCTCCTTCCTATTCCCTCCTCCCCTCCTACCTCCTCCTTCCCCCTCCTCCTCCTCCTCCCCTCATCCCTCCACCTCCTCCTCTCCTCCCTCCCCCTTCCCCCTCCTCCTCATCCTCCCCCCTCCTCCTCCTCTCTCTCCTCTCCTCCTCCTCCTCCTCCTCTCCTCCTCCTCCTCCCCCTCCTCCTCTCCTCCTCCTCCTCCTCATCCTCCTCCTCCTCCTCCTCCTCCTCCTCCTCATCCTCAGGGCAGGGGGGGGGCGAAGTCAGGGCCGAGAGCGGGACTCTCTTGGAAAGGGTCCAGCTTGGCCTGTGGCCTCCGGGGAAGCAGGCGCCTGGTCGGGCCACGAGAGCGATCAACATAGGAGCAAGGCAGGGAAAGGAGGAAGAGGAAGATGAGGGGAGGAGGAGGAGGAGGAGGAGGAGGAGGAGGAGGAGGAGGAGGAGGAGGAGGAGGAGGAGGAGGTTGGCATCAAGCTCCTGCGACGCAGCATGCTCCCCCCCTCGGGTCATGAAAAGTTCACGCCGGGAGGTGTTCCGGCATCTTCGGCCTCTCGGGGGCCCCGACCGGGCCGCGGGGCCGTCAGGAACCGAAGAAACGGCTCGGGATCAGAAGCTGGTCCTGGGGGATGGGTCGAGATCTCTGGGGGTCGACGTCAGGAAAGAATCCTGACGCTGGGGGTCTGGGTCCGAAGCCTCAGGGCGCTTCTGAGAAGGCCGGAGAGCTTCCGAGAAGCCCCGCCGCGTTCGGAGGCGGCCTGCCCCCTTCCTGATCCTCGTCGTCGCAGCTTTCCATCCGTAACTCGGGCCTCTGGCAGCCGTTCGGGACGATCCAGGCACGCCCAGACGCCTCTCGGCGAGGCCACCCCGAGGCTGGAGAACGGTCGAGAGCCGAAACGTCAACGCCGAAAGCCTCGAGCCTCGAACCCGACCCTTCCTCCCTCGGCGTGCCGCCGAGAGGTGCTGGTCCTTGGCTCTGGCGGGCTCACCATCGGCCAGGCGGGCGAGTTCGACTACTCCGGCAGCCAGGCCATCAAGGCCCTGCGCGAGTCGGGCGTGCACTCCATCGTGATCAACCCCAACATTGCGACCGTGCAGACGTCTTGGGGGTACGCCGACAAGGCTCTTCATGAAGGAAAGGGGTCCCCAGGGGCAACGTTAGGCGGGGGATGGGCTCGAGGGGGGGATACATCGACCCTCACTCGTCCAATCATCGCCGATAGAGGGCCGATAGCCTCACCCCGCCCAGGAACGTGCGGTTTCGCTATCGGGGGCCTAAGGTGTCCCTGGCCCAAGGTGCCCCCCAGCTTTTCGGTCCACTCTGGAGCCCCTGGGGCCCGCTGGGCCTCGTGATGGGGTGCTCCGGAGGCCGTGGGGGCCTCCCCCCGACATCCTGGGGGGCTCACCCTGGGCCCTGGGGCACGTCAGGCAACGCCCGGCCCCGAGCCAGCCCCCCCCCCCCCTCACGTTGACTGTCCGACCGTGCTATTCGGCACCTATCCCACGAGCATTCGGCACCCAGGATGCTACTAGCACTGGTCCCGAGGTGAGGCGACTGAACATGAGCGTCGCCTCCTGAACCTCCTCCTCCTCCTCCTCCTCCTCCTCCTCCACCTCCTCCTGAAGCCTTAGCCTCCTCCTCCCCCTCCTCCTCCTCCTCCTCCTCCTCCTCCTCCTCCCTCCTCCTCCTTCCCATTACTAGTTTAATGACATGTCTCTTCCACGTTTTTCTTCACAATTCGATGCGGCGGCTCGGGTCCCGAGGCAAACGGGGCCCCGAGACGTTGCTCGCTGCCGTTGGCCTCGGGGGACCCTCCGCGGGCCCGGGGGCCGGCCAAAGACGCCTCGGGATGCAGGGCCGGCCCCGGGGGGGGGAGAGTCGCAGGGCCCGGCGCCTGCTTCCCTAGAGAGACCCCCCCCCCATGGGCTTCGCGGTGCAAGGTTAGGGGAGCGAAAAACGGCATAAACATAAAAACTCGGAGGTCCGCGCGGATTTCTGGGATCCGCGCTGGACCCCCCTCCCTGGCGCGTGGAGCGCGCCAGGGGCGGCGCCGGAGGCGCCGCCAGGGGGCCCCAGCGCGGATCCCAGAAATCCGCGCGGACCTCCGAGTTTTTATGTCTATGTCATTGTTCGTTCCCCTAAAGGTCTACTTCCTGCCCGTCACCGTGGAGTTCGTGACGCAGGTGATCAAGCGCGAGCGGCCCGACGGCATCCTGTGCTCCTTCGGGGGGCAGACGGCGCTCAACTGCGGCATCCGGCTGGAAGAGGAGGGCGTGCTGTCCACGTACGGGGTGAAGGCCGGCGGGCCCTCTCGCTGCCGCCGCCGGCCCCCCCCCTCTCTCCCCCCGCGCCCGCGGTGCTCGGAGGCGGTCTGGAGCTTAGTGTCGGGGCTGGACAGAACCCCCAATAGTGACACGTCGATTAGTGAATTGTCCGTTTTCGGTTCTCGAGAGGGCGCCGTGGCCGTCAGTTTCCAGGTTTTCGCCCGCCAGATTTGGGCCCGAGGTCGTTTTCACTAAACCACGTTTTGCTAAAGGGGGTTCTGTCCATCCCCGATAGTGGGCCCCGGAAACGGCAGGGCCGTTTTTTCACCGTTTCCAAAAAAATGTCCCTTGAAAATGGAAGCGGCAAAAAACGGCGACCGGAAACGGCAACAAAACGGCTCCAGGATTGGAGCCAGAGCCAGAACCGGTCAAAAAACGGCGACGGAACCGGTAAAAAAGCGGCGTCGGAACCGGCAAACAAACGGCAAAACGGACCCGGTAAAAAAACGGCCCTGTCGTTTCCAGGGCCCACTGAGGTCTGAAGCACCTGCCCCGCGGGGCATCCTGCGCTCGCCTGAAGGGGCGCTTCGGCCCCAAGCCCACCGCACCCCCGCCTGAGGGCGAGCGGCGCGACGGGTCGCAGTCCTGCCGCTCCCAGCCCCTCTGCGCCCAGGCCCCCTCCTGGCGGCGAGGGCGTGCGGGCGTCGTCAATTCGCCATGGGGGCAGCGGGTCCCGAGGGAAACGGGTCCTGAGGTTTTGCGCCGTCTTCGGGGCGGACTCCACGGCCCCGGGACCCGCAGATCACGAGTCTGAAGAGCTCGTCCCGGGGGAAGACCCCGGGGTCCAGGACCCGTTTCCCTCGGGACCCATTTCCCTCAGGGCCCGCGCCCACCATGCTAAGACGTCAACAGATTCAGGAGGGAAAGAAACACACAGACCCAGTTAATCGTCGATTCCCCAGAAAATATGACAAAATATGGGAAGTGGGGGGGAAGACAAAAGCCCCGAAAATATGGGAAAAGATGGGGAATCTGTTTATTTGTCTGTATTTATTGGTGTGTCCTGGGGCCCCTTCAGCTAAGACGTCAGCAGAGCACCTCGCCGATCCTGGCCAGTCCGATCCCGGGCCCGGGAAGGGCCATGGCCGCGCTCGGCGAGGCGGTGAGTCGACGTCGCCAGAGGGGGGCAGGCAGAGGGCTGGAGGGGGGAGGGGGCATTGGGCCTGTGAGCCCAGACCTCCTGGCGTCGTGAAAAAATCACGACGGGAGGTTTTTCGCTATTTTTGGCCTCCGGGGGCCCTCACCGGGCCTCGGGAGCGTCAAAAAACGACTCGGGACGACAGACCGGTCCCAGGGAAGGGGTCCAGACCGCTGGCGTCGACGTCATGAAAAATTCATGACGTCGGGGGTCGAGCAGTTAACGGGCGAAGAACGGTGTAAGATAAACTTTTTCGCTGTCGTGGGCGCCTGTCCCAGGGCGGCTGGAAAGTTTATTATACCCTTACGGTGGCACCGTGGGGGTATAAACTTTCCAGCCGCCCAGGGACAGGCGCCCACGACAGCGAAACAAATTATTTTATGCCGTTCTTCGCTCGCTGAAGCAGGGGGGGCCCTCGTGCAGGTACTGGGCACGCCGATCAAGACGGTCATCACGACCGAAGACCGCGAGCTCTTTGCCAAAGCGGTGGAGCATCCGGGGTGCCTGCGGCAAGTCTTTCGCCGCCGTGCCAGCGCCGCACTCTCGGTGGCGACCCGTCGACAGCTTTGGTCCTTCGTCTCGGGATGGCCGTAGCACTTCTGCGTCGTGTCGGGGTTTCTCTCCTTGTCTTCATCGTCGTCGTCGACGTCGTCTTCCTGCCTTCTTCTTTCTCCTCATTCCCTCTTGGGGGCATCCTGGGGGCCTCATCGGGGCCTCTTGCGGACCTCTCGGGGCCGCACTTCAGGGCCATCTTGGGTGTCTCTCGGGCCGTCGTGGAGGTTGGGGCCCTCTTGGTCTTGGGGCCCCCTTGGGGGCCTCTTGGGCCGTCTTGGGGCCACCTCGGAAGCCCCTTGGTCTGTCTTGGGCTGACGTCGGGGGCATCTTGGGTCAGCTTGGCGGCCTCGGTGGGTTTCCTCGGCCTCTTGGAAGCCACGGACTTCCATCGAGAGCCTCCACAGGTGCCAGCGCGGCCCAGGATGCCTCGGGAGGGGGGGCGATGCATGCAGGGAAGCTTGGCCAGGATGGGCGGGCGGCCGCACGGCAGACTCGCAAAAGCCCCATCTCCTGCCAGGCAGAACTCGGCAGCCCCTGATCTCCGACGCCACGAAGACATACAGCTTCTCGAGCCTTGAGAGAGCACGACCGCGGCCCCGGGCCCCAGCTTCCCGCCGCGTCCTTCGAGCTGCATCGAGCCGTGGTGGCCCCATGGGCCCGAAGCCGGGCCACGGCGCCTGGTGAGAGAGAGGTGCAACGCTCAGTAATTCACTCCGGGCCTGCCGCGCCTCAGCGTGCCGTGGGCGCACGGTGGGCGGACTGCGGCTACAAGGTGGCCGAGAGTGCCTGCTGCACGACCGCGGAGGAGGCCGCAGCGGCCGCCGCGAAGATCGGCTACCCCGTGCTGGTCCGGGCCGCGTTCGCTCTGGGCGGCCTCGGCAGCGGCTTCGCGGCGGACGAGGCCGAGCTGAGGCGGCTGGTGCAGGTGGGAGGGAAAGTGCAGATACCGGTGGCGCGCTTTGAGGAAAAGCACGACGAGAGGTTTTGGGCAGCGCTCGGCTTCTGCAGGTCCTCACCAGGCCCCAGGACCGTCGAAAACGGCTCGGGACGAAGAACTGGTCCAGGGGAAGTCGGCCATGCGCAGAGGGGGGAGGGGGGAGGGGGCAAGGCTCCTCAGGACACACCCCTGCTTCGTAGGAGGCGCGGGCCTCATCTAGATGCAAGGCTGGCACCTCCTATGCAGCAGCCTCCTTCTAAGAAGCCTCCCCCCCTCCCTCCATCCCCGTCGTGCGCGCCGCCAGCTCTGGCGCACGAGCTCTGCGCAGGCCCTTCTGAGAAGCCCTCGCCCCTCCCCCCCGACAGTCGGCCCAGATTAGCAGGTCGACCCTGCCAAATCAAGGCCACCCTCGTGTCGTGTGTCTCGCGCTCCATGCTTCCTACATTCCTGTGGCAATGTGGCCCTCGGAAGGGTCTTGTGTCCTCTCGCGTGTCCTGTCCAATCGAGTCCGACTGTACAGTCGGGGCGCTGAACGAGGAACCCTTTTCGTTGGGGAGGGGCTCCGCGTTCCTTACTGATTTCACCGTTCGCCCCGCGTTTTCCTCAGGTTTTCGAAGGGAAATCGAAGTTCAAGTTCTGGAGAAAAGGGGCCTCGTTCCTTACTTGGGGTTCCTTAGGTCAAGGCCCCGACTGTATACCCTCCCGTGCGCGCCGCCAGGGAAGGGGCCCGGACCTTCGGGAGAGCCCGCGCTGCGAGCGAGGGCGCGGCGTCGGAGTTCTGGGCGGCGCGATGGGGGGGCCTCTCGGCGCCAGAGGGGGGGAAAGGCATACCGTACCGTCCTCCTCCCTCATCCCTCCTCCTCCTCCTCCTCCTCCTCCTCCTCCTCCTCCTTTTCCTCCTCCTCCTCCTTTTCCTCCTCCTTCTCCTCCTCCTTTTCCTCCTCCTCATCCTCCTCCTCCTCCTCCTCCTCCTCCTCCTCCTCCTCCTCCTCCCTCCTTCTCCCTCCTTTTTCCTCCCTCCTTTTTCCTCCCTCCCTCGTCGCCGCGGCCGGATTCTCCCCGGCACATCCTGGACGAAGCGCATATGCGTTTTGCACAGCGCAGGAGGAGCGCCCGGCGGCGGAGTGCGGCAGCGGCGCGCTCGACAGGCCACCGACGGACGACGCACGCGGACGACGGAGGCGCGGGGAGGGCGGGGGACGAACAGCGGGGGGGGGGGGGCCCAGCCCTCGAGAGGCGACGGCGGACGAGGACGAGGGGCGAGGACGCGGGGGGAGACGGCGGGCGACCGACCACGACGGACGAGCAGGCGACCGAGGGACGGCGGGCCCAGGGCGCGGCGGAGACGAGCAGCGCGCGCGCGCGCGGCCGCCCGCCGCAGCCCGCCCCGCGCTCGACAGAGGGGGGGCGCAGCCCCTGGAGAGGTGCGGAGAGGAGCGGCAGCGGTGTCGCAGGGCCTGCGGCCCGTACCGCCACTGTGCCCGGGCTCACAGGCGGGGCCCCGAAGAAGGAACCCCTTTCGTTGGGGAGGGGCTCCGCGTTCCTGAAGTGTCTCGCAGCCTGCCTCAGGTTTGCCTTCTGCTTTCGATCGGACATCGGAGTTTCACGTATGGGAAAAAGGGGCCTCGTTCCTTATTCGGGGTTCCTTGGGTCAACGCCCCGACTGTAGCTGCCTCGATACGCACGTTGTGATACGCAGCACGTGCCGTACTCAAGGCGTCCGTGCCAATACGTTGCGTGCCGGCTCCGCGTGTGGGACCACGTTTTGGCGAACGTATCGCGTCGGACCCACGTATTCAGGATACGTGTTGAGCTCCGTATCAATACGCTACGTGTTGCGTGTTGCGTATCGGGGCGGCTACGTGCCTGGGCTGCGGGTGTGAAGCCCATTGGGATGTTCGTTGGGATCTCGTGTTGAGTCGGGCCTGTCCCTCTACAGGAGGAGTATTCAATTCAAAAATAGTCAAAAAATAGTCTGGGGACGATGTTTTTAGCATGTTGGTCTATTTTGGAATATTTTCTGACGATTTGCGTTTTACCATCCAAGCCCGCCTGTAAGGGGACGCGCCCGACCTAAATCGCGTGGGAGGCGGGGGCCTCTCGGAGGCAGTGTGGGCGTCTCTTGGGGGCCTCTTAGGGGGCCTCGCGGGGCATCTTGGGGCGGAAGACTCGGGTTTTCGGTTCGTGTTCCTTCTCTTGGGCCCCTTTGAGGGCCAGCTTGGGGCCCTCTTGGGCCGTCTTGTGCGCCTCTTGGGCTGTCTTGGGGCTCTCTTGGGCTGTTTGGGGGCCCTCTTGGAGGCCTCGTTGGCCGTCTTGAGGCGGTCTTGGAGGCCTCTAGAGCCGTCTGGGAGCGTCGGGAAGCCGAAAAGGCGAGAACGCCCAAACCCTTCACAAACCGAAGGATAATCAATAATTTCGGCCTCTTGGAGCCCTCTTGGGAGGCTTCTTGGAAGCCTCTTTGGGCGTCTTGGAAGGCTCTTGGGCCGTCTAGGGGCCATCTTGAGCGTCTTGGAGCGATCGTTCGGCGATTCGGGGCCTCCTGGGGCTGTCTTGGGGGCTTCTTGGGGTTCTCTTGGCCTGTTGTCTCGGGGCCCTCTTGGGCCTGAAGAGTCACGCGAGAAGACGCCACGCGGAGAACGCCAGGGGAACCGCGACAAGCCCCAAGAAAATTTGGAATTCGGGGTCCGGGCCCTTTGAAGAACTCCTCAGGAGTGAGGAGTGAGGCTTAGAGGACTGGGCCCCGGACCTGAGGTCACGCCCACTCCGTGCCCAGAGGCACGTTGGCGGACCTTTTTGTCCCCCCAACAGGTGGCGCTGGTGAACAGCCCGCAGGTCATCGTGGACAAGAGCCTGAAGGGCTGGAAGGAGCTCGAGTACGAGGTCGTGCGCGACGCGAACAACAACTGCATCACGGTGTGCAACATGGAGAATTTCGACCCGATGGGCATCCACACGGGAGACTCGATCGTCATCGCCCCCTCGCAGACGCTCACGAATGCGGAGTACTTCCGGCTGCGGGAGTGTGCCCTGAAGGTGGTGCGCCATTTGGGCGTGGTGGGGGAATGCAACATCCAGTACGCAGTGGACCCGCACAGCCAGGAGTTCCGCATCATCGAGGTCAACGCGCGCCTGTCGCGGAGCAGCGCGCTGGCGTCGAAGGCCACCGGGTACCCGCTTGCGTACGTTGCCGCGAAATTGGCTCTGGGTAGCGATCTGGTGAGTTTGCGCAACAGCGTCACCAAGTGCACCACCGCCTGCTTCGAACCCAGCCTCGACTACGTCGTGGCGAAGGTCCCCCGCTGGGACCTGCGCAAGTTCTCGACGGTGGACCAGGAGGTTGGCAGCTGCATGAAGAGCGTGGGCGAGGTGATGTCCATCGGGCGCACATTCGAGGAGACCATCCAAAAGGCGCTGCGCATGGTCGACGAGGCCTGCAAGGGCTTCGACTCCGAGCGCTTCGACCTGGAGCTGTCCCACCGCGGCGACGAGGCCACCGCGCACGAGGCGACCAGGGCGGAGCTGATGCGGCCGACGCCGACGCGCGTGTGGGCGATCGCGAAGGCCTTCGAGCTGGGCATGGACGTCGAGGAGATCCACGCCCTGACCCGCATCGACCGCTGGTTCCTGTCGAAGCTGCTCCACGTGCACACCGTCAAGCACGCGCTGCGCACCGTGGACCTCTCGGGCCTCGCCGCCAGCCCGCAGCTGCTCCGGGAGGCCAAGCGCTGCGGCTTCGCGGACCGGCAGATCGCGCCCCTGCTGCGCTTCTCGGAGGGCACGAGCGCGCGCGGCGATCGAAGGAAGGGAAAAGGGCAGAAGGCAGAAGGCAGAAGCATACGCTCTCGGAGGTCGGCAGAAGCACAAGCCTTCGGCCTGGGAGGCGGGAGACGAAGCCGGGGGGGGGGTGGGTGGGACGGGGAGGAGCCGAGGGGAAGTCGAGAGGCACACTTGGGGGAGCAAGCAATGACCTGAACAGCAAAACTCAGAGGTCCGCTCGGGCTTCCTCGGATCGGCGCTGGGCCCTCCTGGCGGCGCCTCTGGCGCAGCCCCCGGCGCGCCCCGCGCGCCACGGAGGGGGTCCCGGCGCCGATCCACGAAGTCCGCGCGGACCTCCAAAAGTCTACGGTCGGGAACTTTAGGATAGCGTGTCGTTCCGTCAGCACTGGCCCACCACGCTTCGACGCGACACGTTATCCACTTCGCGGTCCCAAGGCGTCAACGTCCCGAGCCTTCCGAGCCTCCCGCCCCGGTGAGCAGAGCGACGCGCTATCCGCTCGCAAGAACTAGCGTGCCGCCGGGGCCGCCGCAGCGACACGCCATCCAAAGGTTCCCGACCATATGCTTATGCAGGGTTTTCTTCCTCTAGGCAAGTGGGACTACAACGGTGGCCCGGTACTCGACTACAACATCCGCGCCCTGCGCAAGAGCGTGGGCGTGGTGCCCGTCGTGAAGCAAATCGACACTCTCGCGGCTGAGTTCCCCGCGCACACGAACTATCCAGCTGAGCTGCCGCGCGATTCCGCCACCGCGCTCGGGCATGCGCGGTGAGGGGGCCTTGGGGGGCGGGATAAGGGGAAGGTCCATGGATCCCCCCACCCTTGCCCCGAGCTTTGTTTTTAACATGATTTTCTGCCTGGCCGGCCAAGCACGCAGGGACTTGGCCACAAAAATGAAAACATTCTGGGCTCGGTGTGTCGGGGGGTTCTGATTATTGTTTCGCAAGAAGCGTAAGGGCCCGACGCGCACACACACACACACCAACCGCTGCAAGCGCGGTGGCGGACCTCTACCTCACGTACAGTGGCATCGAGAACGACGTGCAGCTCGCTGGCCTCGCGGGCACCGGTTCTCAGAAGGACGCCGCCAGCGAGGCAAGCGCACCGATCATCGTGATCGGTTGCGGGCCGTACCGCATCGGTAGCAGCGTCGAGTTCGACTGGTGCTCCGTATCCTGCGTCAAGACGCTGCGCGGGCTCGGCAAGCGCGCCATCATCATCAATTGCAACCCAGAGACCGTCTCAACCGACTTCGACGAGTCGGATCGCCTTTACTTCGACGAGCTCAGCCACGAGACCGTGCTCGACGTGGCCGAGATGGAGAAGTGCGCCGGCATGGTGGTGTCTGTCGGCGGGCAGATACCCAACAACCTGGCCATGCGGATGCACCAGGTCGGCATTAAGATCCTGGGCACGTCGGTTGAGTCAATCGACGCTTGCGAGAACAGATTCAAGTTTAGTCAGCTCTGCGACTCGCTCCGCATCGACCAGCCAGAGTGGTCCGAGTTCACGACAGTGGAGGAGGCCTTCCATTTCTGCAAGCGCGTCAGCTTCCCCGTGCTGGTGCGCCCATCCTACGTGCTCAGCGGCGCCGCCATGCGAGTGGTGAACTCCGAGTGCGAGCTGGAGAGGTTCCTAAAGGCAGCGGCAGTGGTGAGCCGCGAATACCCCGTGGTGGTCTCGAAGTACATCGCGGGGGCCAAGGAAGTCGAGCTGGATGCCGTTGCCCAGGACGGCACGATGCTGAACTACGCTATCGCGGAGCATGTCGAGAATGCCGGCGTGCACAGCGGGGACGCTTCCCTGCTGCTGCCAGCGCAGAAGCTCTTCGTGGAGACGCAGCGCCGCGTGAAGCAGATCGGGCAGAAGCTCTGCCGAGAGCTCAAGATCTCTGGCCCGTTCAACATCCAGTTCATCTGCAAGGAGAACGAGGTCAAGGTGATCGAGTGCAACCTGCGCGCGTCCCGGTCCATGCCCTTCATCTCGAAGGTCTACAACATCAACCTCATCGAGCTCGCGACGCGGGTGTTCCTGGGGCTGCCCGTGCACGCCAAGCCGGTGCAGCCGATCGACATGGAGTACGTTGCGTGCAAGGCGCCCGTGTTCTCGTTCGGTCGCCTGAAGAACTCCGACCCGAGGCTCGGCGTGGAGATGCAGTCTACTGGCGAGGTGGCGTGCTTCGGGGTGAACAAGTACGAGGCCTTCCTGAAGGCGATGATCGCCACTGGGTTCAAGCTGCCCGCCAAGAACGTGCTGGTGTCCATCGGCCCGCACCAGCAGAAGCAGGAGTTCCTGCAGGTCGCCCACCTGTTCGTGGCCATGGGCTTCCAGCTGTACGCGACAAAGGGCACGCACGAGGTGCTCAAGAACAGCGGCATCGAGTCTTGCATCTTCACGTTCAAGGCATTCGTGAAGAGGGAGCCGAACGTGCTGACCATGCTGCAGGGAGGCAGGCTCGACCTGGTCATCAACGTCCCAGAGTCGATGGACTCGCAGGTGCCTGCGAGGAAGCGAAAGAGGGGGAGCCGCGGGGACCGGAGGAGACCCAGGATGCGTCAAGGGTGCTGCAGCACACCCTCCCGTCCCGAGTCCTCTTCCTGAGAGGTCCCTACAAGAATTGCCTTCGACTGCGGGAAACGCACCGTACGCAGACGAGCACCCCAGGGGCTTACTGCTCAGTCAAAGCACACGCTTGAAACAGATCTGCCCTTCATCTTTCTAGCTGTGGTTGAAGCGGAAAGGGGTAGGATCAAAGTTCGAGGACGTGCCCAGTGATAGCCCCACTATAAACAAGTAGCCAGCATTCATCCGTTTGATTGTTGCGCAACGGTCCGTAGTAGCCGTAAAGGTTGAGAAATGTTCGAGGGAAAACCACGCCTTGAGAGGCAACCGTTCCGTCCACAAGTCAATCCCCTGCTTTCCAACTTCGGGGCATAAGATAAGAAACGATGTTTGCCAGCGGTGATCCCCAAGAGTGGGTTTAATACTGCACTCTCGATGTGCGCTCTATGTGGTGCAGTCCACGTGGTGCAGTCTATGCGGTGTAAACTGGGGGATGTAATCTATGCGGAGCGCTCCACCCTGCAGAAGTTGAAGTCGTCAATTCCACTGTTCGCGCGCGCAATTGCCCCAGCCTTCCCCCCGCAACCTGCCTTGCACAACCCATACGACCACGATTGCGGTGACTCCTTTGCGCTGGCTGGCGCAGCCTTGCGGGCGCGCTGGCGCGCGCGCGCGACCTCGCGCCCAGCGGGGCCAGCTGGTTTGGCACTGTTGATGCGGCCGTGATGGCGCCCGCCAGGGAAGAGACTTCGGTGCGGGCACTTCAGTGGCCGCGCCAGCGCGCGGGCACTCCAGTGCGGGTCGGTGGCCCGGGCGGGCGCGATATCATGACGACAACGGCGACGGCGGCAACGAAGATGACGGTATCGGCTCTGGTGGCGAGGATGGCGGTGGCGACGGGGAGGCCAACGACGGCGCCAATGTTGGCAACGACGGTGGCGATTGGCCGTGTGTCGGTGATGAAGGTGATTGACAGATGACAACGACAATGGAGGCGATTCACGATGACGTTGACGCGGTGGTGCGATGGGATGATGCGGGTGATGGTGAGGAAGTGCGCGCGCGCGCAAGGGCAAGAAACCTGGCAGACTTCCAGTTGAGCACCATTGTGTTAGCCAGATGTTTTGGATGAGGTCCATCTTGAAATGAGTTGGAAACCCGTTGTGGGTGGAATTTCGCCATGCGCGCGTGGCGGCGCGTACGTGTGGCCCGCATGGCATTCTGTGCGAAGGATTCGTGCACTGGGCGCACGCAGGACCAGCACGGATGCACAGCGCGGTGAGATGAGAGCGCGGACTTTGGACGAACCTGCAAAACAAAAGTGCATGGTTTTCCTCGGACTGCAGCACGTGCGAGCGGGCAGTAAGCCTGGAGGACATGTAATGGACAAGCACAGCAGTTTTTGTTTATGTGTTTACGTTGATACGAATGTAACACGTGTGTGTTCGGTATGGTTTTGGCACGTGCGCTTGCGTGTGTTCTATATGCTATAAGCGAGTGCGCGTGTACAGTAGTACTTGACAGGTATGCAGGGGGGTGTCAATACCCAGCCTGCCCCGGTTGGTTGGAATTCACCAGGGAAATCAGCGATGAGGCAGAATCGCATGTAGCTTGCAATGCGAAAGCGTGCATCGCTAAGTCCGGGCTCGGGAGGGTGATGGAATCTGTGTGTCTGATAAAAGGAGGACTAATTTTTGCCCGGGTTGGAGTCGTCAGCTCCGCTGCTCGCGCAAACGGTCCACCCTCCCACCCGCAAGTTGTTTTGCAGAACCCATGCGGCCGCTGTTGCCGGTGTGTCTGGCACTGGCTGGCGCATCTCTGCGCGTTGCGCGGGCACGCGCAAACACTTTTTTTGATCCGCGGGTCGAGAGCGAGCCTCTTCCGGTCGAAGCTAAGCGGGCCGCGCACAGCTTTAATTGACAGAGGGGGGAAGGCAGAAGGAGGGGCCTCACGTCAAGGCCAAGAGAGGGCAAAGCCCCGGAATCAGGCGGTGCCGAAGGCGAGCACGCGCAAACACGCGCCCAGCGAAGCCAGCTGGTCTGGCACTGTTGCTGCGGCCGCGATGGCGCTTGCCGACGGGGACCTCCCAGCGCGTCTCAGAGGCCGCGCCAGCACGCGGGCATGCCAGCGCGGGTCGGTGATTCGGGCGGGCGCGATGTCAGGATGACATCGACAGTCGGGGACAGCGATGATGGTAGTATCGATTGTGGTGGCGATCTTGACGATGACGACGGCAAGCCCTATGGCAGCACCGATGCTGGTGCCGACCATGACGATGATGATGTCCATGTGTCGGTGATGGAGGTAGTTGGCGATAACGGTGACTGACGATGACGGTAATGGAGGCGATTGGCGATGACGATGACGGCGATAGTCGGTGTGTCCATGTGTCGGTGATTGACTGGTGATGACGGTAATGGAGGCGATTGGCGATGACGATGACGGCGGTGATGCGACGGCGTTGATGCGGGCAACGGTGGGGAAGTGGGCGAGCGCAGACATTCAAGAAGTCATGCGAGCTTGTTGTTGAAGTGCATGTGTTGTCTTATACATATATGTATATCTATATGTGCATACAACTATATATGAAGAGTTCTGTCTTGGCATGCTTCGGAAACCGTTGCTGTTGGTCGGAGTTCGACGCGCGCGTGGCGGCGCGCGCGTGTGGCCCGCATGGTGTTATTCGCACTGGGCGCATGCTACATTCGGGGGTGGACTGACCTCCTACCCTGACACGTCGATTAAGGAATTGGCCGTTTTCGGTTCGCGAGAGGGCGTCGCGGCCGTCATTTTTGCGGGTCCAGGTCCGTCGGTTTCGGTCCCAGGCCGTTTTCATTAAGGGGAGGTCTACTAAAGGGATGTTTGTCCACGGCCGGTACATAAACGCAGATGCACCGCGTGGCTCGCTGGCCTTGGAGAGGGTTCAAGGCGGATGTGTGCCCAGCACGAAAGCGAGGACAGCCATTTTGTACGCCACGCGCCCTCACCAATGTAACTGTCGGGAGTTGTGAAGACGGGAGTGCGCGCCGCTGCAGCACAAACCGCAATGAACGAAACGTCGCCCTCCGCTCGTGCAGCTGTTGAGAAATTTTGCGACGAATGAGTGCGTCGTCCAGGCGGGAGCCACATGCTAAACACCACCCGCCCTTCATCGGTGTGATCGTTGGAATCTGAAGCCATCAAGGACAAGGAGGGCGAGGACTAGGACGTCTCAGGTGAAACGCGCGGCCCGACCTACCAACACGCCTGGAGGTGCCAGGACGGTTAGCCGTGTTGCATTGAAACGGGACGGAGGAGAAGGGGGCAGGAGAGGAACAGGAATAGGCATAGCCACATGACGTTGCCATGCCAAGTCAGATCAACCAGAAGGCCGATGACGAGCTGCCTTCTCGGCGGCACTCAGCAGCTTGGGAAGCGTGCCTCGCTCATGCGATCCAAGTAACCCCCTACTGGCATCGTTCGGGGACTTCGGCAACACTGCTTGCGTTCATTCCGAAGATGAATGGGGAGGAAGGAGGGAGGGAGGCGGGAGGGCGAGGGAGGGAGGGAGGGAAGAGGGGAGGGAAGGGGGAAGGAGAGGGAGGGAAGAGAGAGGGAGGAAGGAGGGAGAGAGGGATGAGGAGAGAGGGAGAGAGGAAAGGAGGGAGGGAGGAGGAGGGTGGAGGACGAGAGGAGGGGGAGGAGGAGGGGGAAGGGGAGGTAGGAGGAGGAGGATGAGGAGGAGGAGAAGAGCAGGGAGCAGGCGGACGATGAGGATGAAGGAGGAGAGGAGGAAGGAGGAGGAGGAGGAGGAGAGACGGAGGAAGGGAGGAGGGAGGAGACGATGATGATGCTGTGCTGATGATGATGATGATGAGATGATGATGATGAATGATGATGATGCTGATGCTGATGCTGATGCTGATGCTGATGCTGATGCTGATGCCAGATGATGATGATTATGATGATGATGATGATTATGGTGGTGATGGGAACGATGATGATGATGCTGAGATGTTGATGATGCTGATGATGCTGATGATGCTGATGATGCTGATGCTGATGCTGATCTGATGATGATGATGATGATGATGATGATGATGATTGATGATGATGATGATGATGATTGAGGATGATGATAGGAGGAGGATGAGGATGAGGATGAGGATGAGGATGAGGATGAGGATGAGGAGAGGATGAGGAGGATGAGGATGATGCTGATGATGATGATGATGATGTGATGATGATGATTGATGATGATGATGATGAGAGGAGGGAGGAGGAGGAGGGGAGGAGAGGAGGAGGAGGAAGGAGGAGGAGGAGGAAGAGGAGGAGGAGGAGGAGGAGGAGGAGGAGGAGGAAGGAGGAAGAACCAGGAGGCGGAGGGATGGAGGAGGATGGCTCCGCAGGCGCTCACGGACGGCTTCGAGATACGCCGCGCGGCCATCGACAGCGGCACCTCGGGGACCCGCATCACACCCGCCAGCCAGAGGAGATGAGAAGGGAGCAGTGGAAGGAGGAGGCACGCAAGAAACAAGAAGGGTAACATGGGCCTCGGAGGAGCAGGAGGAGGGGGACCACCAGGGTTAGCAGGAGGAGGAGGAGGAGGAGGAGGAGGAGGAGGAGGAGGAGGAACAGGATGAGGGGGTGGAGATCGAGGAATCAGGAGAAGGAGAAAGAGTTAGGGAGGGAGAGGAGGAGGGCCCCCCGAGGCACCTCTCTGATCACGGACATCAAGACGGCGATCCTCACCGGCATGGCCTTGCATCGGAAGTGGGTGCGGGAGACGTCTGGGCGGGCGTTCTGGTCCTACAACTCGTGGCAGGAGACCGAGGAGGAAACGGTGGAAAGAGGAGGGAGAGGAGGAGGAGGAGGAGGAGGAAGAGGAGGAGGAGGAGGAGGAGGAGGAGAGGAGGAGGAGGAGTGAGGAGGAGGATGAGGAGACGAGACGAGGACGGAGGAGGAGGAGGAGAGGAGGAGGAGGAGGAGGAGGAGGAGGAGGAAGAGGAGAGAGGAGGAGGAGGAGGAGGAGGAGGAGGAGGAGGAGGGGAGAGGAGGAGGAGAGAAGGGGGGGGGGGGAGGAGGAGGAGGAGGAGAGGAGGAGGAGGAGGAGGAAGGAGGAGGAGGAGGAGGAGGAGGAGGAGGGGCGGCGGGTCCTGCATTTTCTTCCTCCTTCCGCTGGTGCAAGTCAGTGACGCTGCTACGAGGTAGCCAAGGCAGCTGCTCGGCCACTTGAGTCCATCATCCTGAAAGCCATATTCCGTCATGCACGCTACGCATTTTGGCCATTGAGTTCTCGACGGGAAAATCAGCAACGTTCCCCAATCAGAGCTTGCCTCTGTAGGGGTCCTAGCGGATTAAAGGTTTAGGTGAGGTGGGTCGCCGATTTCGGTGGCCGGGCCCGGGTGCCCGGGTGCCCGGCGGTGCCCGGGTGCCCGGGTGGCCGGTGAGGTGCGTGGCCGATTTCGGTGGCCGGGCCCTGGTGCCCGGGTGCCCGGGTGCCCGGGGTGACCAATAGCCCAATAGCATATAGCCCAATAGCCTTATAGCCCTATAGTCTTCTAGCCAAATAGCCCTATAGCCCGATAGCCCTATAGCCCTATAGTCCAATACCCTATAGCCCGATAGCCCCATAGCCTTATAGCCCTGATTATAGCCCTATAGCTCTACAGCCTTATAACCCTATAGCCTTGTAGCCCAATAGCCCTATAGCCCTATAGCCTCATAACCTTATAATAGTTTTATAGCCCTACAGCCCCATAGCCCCAACAAAAATCTGATTGGGGTTTTTCTCCGGTGTCATTTAGTTTTGACAGTAATCACCATGCACCGATCGGGCTGGGCTGGGACCGGGATCAGTTGTCCCAGAGCGTTGTGGAACGCTCTCAGAGCATCCAGGAACGTTCTGGAACGGACGCGGTGCCCGATACATCCTCCAGAACCGCCGGATCTCAGAGATCTCCAGTTCATACTGGTCCGACGTTTCCTGGGTCCTGGCTTTGGCTCCGCTGCAGGGCCACTATAGGGGATGATGGGCATAGGGGGGATGCATCGACACCCACTCGTCCATTCATCGCCGATAAGGGCCCGACCAGGAGCGTGGGGGTTCGCTATTGGGCGCCTATTTCCTATCTATCGGCGGCGTATCGCCGATTCCAGGTCGATGTTCCCCCCCTATGCCAGCCCCCCTGTCGTTAAGTCGGGCTTGTCCCTCTACAGGAGGAATATTCAAAAATGGTAAGAAAATAGTCTGGGGATGTTCTGAATATTTTTTGCCATTTTGGAGTATGTATTGAGTATTTTGTTTTCGCCGACAAATTCCCTGTAGGGGGACACGCCCGACTTAACCCTATCGTTGCCCCCTCGTTCGCTGAGGCTGTACCCTCGCAGTGCCGGCGGAAGCCAGAGTTCGCTGTGGCCGGGTGGTTTCGAAGGCCCCCCTGCCGGGGGGCGACGGCGTGCCTGGACCGCGCTCTGCGCTTTCGCGTGTGCACGTGCCGAATGGTTGCCTGGCATCTTCGGGGGGCCTCTCCCGTCCCTAGGGGAGCAAAAAGTGACATGAACATAGAAACTCGGAGGTCCGCGCAGACTTCTCGGATCGGCGCTGGAACCCCTTCCCTGGCGCGCGGAGTGCGCCAGGGGCGGCGCCGGAGGCGCCGCCGGGGGGGTCCAGCGCGGATCCGAGAAATCCGCGCGGACCTCCGAGTTTTTATGTTCATGTCATTTTTCGTTCCCCTACTCTCCCGTCCTGTCGATGGCAGTCGTTTCTTGTACCCCGACGTTTTTATGTTCATGCCATTCTTCGTTCCCGAAGCCTTGGACCCCACCCCCTCTGCGGCATTGTTCCAGCCGGATCGACCCGCGATGGCCCTGTGGAGCCCCGAACTGGGCGGAAATGCCCGGTGCGAAGGAACTGCGACGCCCTGATCGCAGGGATCCGATACTCCTTTTCGTTTGGTTTTCGGGTCATAGCTCGGGTCTTCGGCGGCCATTCGGGACGATCTGGGTGCTTTCGGAACGCTGTCGGCGAGGCACAGCTGCTGGAGAGAACCACGAGGCTGGAAAGCCGCCCCGAGACCCAGGCGTTACAACTTTTGAGCGTGCTCGTAAACTGGACAATCAAATCAGATCGGCGGTTGTGAGGGTTCGAGGTTTTCGGACAGCTTCATCGGGTCTCGTCAGCTTTCCAGCCTCGGGGTGCTCTCCAGCAATTGCACCTCGCCGACAGCGCTCCGACAGTACCTTGGTCGTCCCGAATGGCCGCCGAAGACCCGAGCCATGACCCGAAAACCAGACGAGGAGGAGGATCCCGGAGATCTGGACGTGGCAACTCCTTCGCACCGGGCATTTCCGCCCAGTTCGGGGCTCCAGGGCCATCACGGATCGATCCGGCTGCAACGTCGAATCTGAGGGTGCCCTCTTCCTCCGCGGCCGCCCTCCTCCTCCCCCCGCCTCTCCGGTGAGAGCTCGCCGCGTCGTGGCCCGGCTTGGGCCCTCCTCCTCCTCCCCCTCCTCCTCCTCCTCCTCCTCCCCTCCTCCTCCTCCTCCTCCTCCTCCTCCTCCTCCCCCTCCTCTCCCCCTCCTCCTCCCCCTCCTCTCGTCCTCCACCCTCCTCCTCCTCCTCCTCCTACTCCCCTCCTCCTCCTCCTCCTCTCCTCCTCCTCCTCCTCCTCCCCTCCTCCTCCTCCACCTCCTCCTCCTCCTCCTCCTCCTCCTCCTCCTCCTCCTCCTCCTCCTCCTCCTCCTCCTCCTCCTCCTCCTCCTCCCCCTCCCGCGCTGCGCGAACGCCAGCGCCGCGGCCAAAGAGCGGAAGGCGCGCTCGTAAACCCGGCGGTGCGGCAGTGCGGGCTGAGCGCCCCTCCGACGGGGACGGCGACCCCCGCGAGGCTGCCCTCGGCCGAGTCCGGCGCGGCAGCGAGGGCGGCGAAGGCGGGGGTTTGCTGGCTGGACGCTCCCCTGGCCCAAGGGGCCTCCAGGAGTTCCAGGGAGGCCCGCTGCGGCCTCCAGAGAACCCCCTCACGAGGCCCAGAGGGCCCCAGGGGCTCTACAGTGTAGCGACAAGCTGGAGGCACCTTGGGCCAGGGGCACCTTCGGCAACCCCCGAGAAGGGCGGCCGAAGATCGATCGGACCCGGCAGAGCTTGGCGACGAGGGCCCCCGGAGCCCAGAGTCCTCCAGGGGGGAGGAGCAGCGGGCAGGAGGAGCAGGAGGAGAAGGGCGAGGAGGTTCGATGGCGACGGCATGGACGACGGCGCTTAGTAGGACGAGTGTCGGCGGCGAGCGAGGGGGAAAGTGAGGAGGAGGTCTTCTCAGAAGGCGGCGGGGCTTCGCAGAAGCTCTCGCTGTGTCTGCGGGGAAGGCTCAGAACACTTCTCACACGGACGGGGGACTTCCGAGCCTTCTGAGAAGGCCTTCTCCTTCTCACTTCCCCCTCTCGCTCGCCGCCGAGAATGGGGGGAGTGTGTCGAGGAGAACAGGGACGGCAGATGCGGATGTGGTGGAGGCGGATGGGGAAGGTGGACGTGCCGCGTGTGATCGCCCATGTTCAGCGCGGAGTGCGAGCGATAGAGAGACAGAGAGAGAGAGTGTGTGAGAGAGAGGGAGGGATGGAGGGAGGAAGGGAGGAAGGAAGCGGACATTGGGGAGGAGGACGAGGAAGACGGTGAGGATGAAGAAGAGGAGCAGGAGGAGGAGGAGGAGGAGGAGGAGGAGGAGAAGGAGGATGATGATGAGGAGGAGGAGGAGGAAGAAACGTTAGAGAGCCAGGGTTCGTAGAAGAACGGAGATGAGGAGGAGATGGGAGATGCGGACCAGCTGCGGGCCAAGGAGGAGGAGGAGACAAATGGAGAATGGGGGATGGGTGGGGAGAAAAGGCAGGATGTTGGAGGGAGGGGGAAGAGGGAAGGAGTACACGGAGACGAGCGACATTCTCCTGGCGTAGTTCTGCATGGAGATTCCGTTCTGCAGACGAGGACATTCTCCTGGCGTGGCCCGAGGGGGGCGACTCAGCGGAGATGGGGCGACCCGCGTGTACACATTCGGCGGGGAAAATACCAAGCTAATTTCCGCGACAACAGCGGGGCCAGTGAGGCGACTTTCCCTGCGCCAGGATGAGGCACTGTAGTTGCGTAGCCGAGTCGTCTGGACTCATGCGTGCCATACGTGTGACGGAGTAGCTCGACTAGTTTCCGCAAGCAGTCTTCCGGTCGTGCTGCCCATTGGTGGGGCCAGGGCAGTTGCCGGCGTTGCTGCGGGATCCGGCCTCGGGTAAGTTTCTCTTGCGGATGCGAGAGGGTGCTTCGTTTTCCATCGTGTGCGAGTTCTGCCCGCCTGCCCAGCATTGTTCCTTGCCAGACAGGCGAGGGTCGTGGATACAACACTATGTGCACCATCATCTTGGGAAGAGAACGGCGAAATCATGCAAATAATGCTTGTGTAAAAAGATGCAGATACGCAAACGAACACACACACACACACACACCTATGCACTTTCATGAGTACGCATGCGACCTCGCACTCTCATTATGTGTTGCGCGCGTGATATGCACATGTGTAAACATCCGGTCGTATTCATCCGCATGCTCGCACGAAACAGCACATGCGCAGACAAATGCGCGCACGAAGGCATCTGGTGTGCATGTGCTACGCACATGCGTATGTACACACGTTCATAGGGGACCGAAATGCTCGTTGCGATTCAGATGCGTGCTCCTGCGCAAGAGCGGATAAGAGTGAGGAGATGTACGTGTGCTCCCCGCGCGGTCATCCGCATGGGCCCCCACGCGTCCCTACCATTCGACCCCCCCCCCCCCCGAACGGCCATTCCATGTGCTCTCCCCCGTGTGGGCCCTGCGCGCCCTCCCTTGTACCCCCGCGTGCCTCACCCCATCTGTGTGTCATACCCGACCCCCGTGTTGCCCCAACGGTGACGACTCCATGCTTGACGGCCAGGCGCGCCCATGAATGCCACGAACGCAGTCTCCCTGCTTTGGGTCCCCCACTCGCAACTATACATGCACACGTCCCTATGCAAATGCAACTGCACGCATATTCGAATGTCATTGCGCCTGGCTGCACATATGGTTCCACATGTACGGCTACATGCACACATGCGCATCCAGATGCACTGCCATACTCATACGGCCATTCCCACATCGCATCGCAGATACGTGTGTTCGTATAGACGTGCGTGATCACTTTTGAGCACCAGCGCACAATTTCTTGCACAATTCTTGTGCACATCCAGCTTGGGGGAGTCCTGAGCCACCTTTTGGCTCTCTTGAGATCGTCGCGGGGGCTTCCTGAAGCCCTCCGGGGCCGTCTTGGGGGATGGACTTTCCGAGGCTATCTACGGCTCAAGAGTTTGAAATAGAAGAGAACATGTGAAAACAAAAAAAAAAAAGTCCCTGGCAATGGTTCGGTCTCACAAGGCATTCTTGCAGGGCTCTTGAGTTATTTTCGGAGCCTTTTCGTGCCCTGAGGAGACCTTGGGGCATCTGGGGCTGCTTCGGGCCGTTTTGGGCTGGTCTGGGATTTCCTGCAGCTGGTCTGGGGTGATCCTGGGCCGCGTTGAGGCGTTCTGGGGGCTGGGAAGAGCGCCAGGAGGCGAGACGCAGGGTGGATGCCCGAGGGGGGAGGTCGCCGCAGGAAAAGTACAGAAGCTCTACCTTTCAGCGAAAGGGCATTATGTCGCGCCCCAGGGTGCCGAGACTAGGGTGGCGGAGCGCGCACACACAAGTTGTCACGGGTGATTCTGGGTTTCGCTTTGTTGGTATCCCATGCGGCGCAGAGGGTCCTCAGGCGCGGGCAGCAGATGGAAGTGCTAATTGCGATCGAGCATCGTCGAAAGCGCAGTGAAAGAAACGCCAAACACTGACGTGCAGGGATGGGTGGTGGCTGGGAAGGACTGTAACCCAGCAAAGCGCAGCGACCAGAAAACTGAGGAGCACGTCCGAGCGAGCTCGACTCAAGGTGAACTGAAGCGCGAGCAGTCTGGTGTTAATTGCCACTGAACCAGCGAGCTAGCAATGATAGCCAGCGGAAAGAGCCTGTAAGGCTGCCAGACCGGCCAATTGGTAGGGTGACGCGAAGCGGCCGAGAGGAAGAAGGGGGCATGGGAAAAACAGCAGCGCGGAAAACGCGCTGGACAATGAGCGAGCAAAACAGACAAAGCAAAGTGCAGGAGGATAGGCCGACGGTCGATTGCGCCCCTGCAGTCGCACCGATGAGCGGAGAAACTGTCACGCAGCCGCCTCGGCCACCGCAGACAAAAGGAAGACAGAGCGAGCAGAGCAACGCCAGGCGAGGCGACGAGCGGCCGAGCCGAAGCACGACAGAGATCGGCCGGGGCAGCAGAGCGAAACCGTGCATTGGACCTACCGGTCGCGAAAGGTCGCCGCAGCTGGGACACACACCCAACCACACACACTCACACAAGTTGACAGATTCACCTTCGTGAGTTCATGCACGCACACGCACCTATTCGCAAACACGTGCTCACTCATGCGCCTGCACATGCAACTGCTCCTGCGGATGCACGTGTGCATACCGAAGACGCCGCTGGCGAATCACCGACTCCCTGTCCTGCTGGCAGCGCCCGTGTCGTGAAATGTCGGACGAGAGTGCGGCCAAGCTGGTGGCCCACGTTCTGCACCAGCCGTTGGTGGAGGCTGTCTTGGGGCTCTTCTCGGGTGCCTTCTTGTGAGTCTCCTGCGGATCTCTCCGGGCCCACCTGGACGCCCTCTCCGGCCGCCTGGCGTACTTCCGCGTTGTGTCGGGGTGCCTCTCCTCGTCTTCGTCGTCGTCTTCCCCCTCCCTCTTTTTCCTCCTTCCCTCTTGGGCCATCCTGGGTCTTGGGGGCCTCACCAGGGCCTCTTGGGGTCCTCGGCGCCTGCTGGGCGCTGCCTGCGCCGCCTCAGGGCGCTCTTGGGCCGTCTGGCGCCTTCAGGGGCCGTCCTGGGGGGGCCTCTCTGGGCCGTCCTGGGGGCTCTGTAGGGCCGTCTTGGAGCTCGCACGGGGTTGCCTCGGGGCCGTCTCGGGGTTCCCTCCTGGCCCTGCGGGCAGGGGGCCGTCTCGGGCCAACCGTGGGGGGATCCCGAAGGCCAGGACACCGCGAGAGCCCGAAGGCCTCGCCGTGCGGGCGTGCGGGGGGCCGCCTCGGATGTCCTCGAGGACCGCCCGGGCACTCTCGGAGACGAGCTGTCCTTCTTGCGAAGGCCCTGCGGCCGGCGCCGCCGACCCGGGAGGGGGACGACGACGACAACGGCGGCGGCGACGACGACGACGACGACGACGACGCTGACGCTGACTTGAGACGAGTTTTCCTTTCTTTCGCGAAAAAAAAAAACTTGGAAAAGGCACACAATAGGGGTCCCGTCGCGGGGCCCGGCGGGGTGGGCCGAGTGCCACCAGGAGACTCTGCGGAAGGGTGGAGAGCATTCGTTTGCCAGGCACGCTAGGGCTACGGTGGTGGTGGATCTAGTGGCATTCCGCCGATTCCGCCGCCATTCCTGAGCCGTGGGCATGTCGCCTCTCATAAGGTGGGGGGCTCTCGGGAGGCATCTCGGGGGCATCTTGGGAGCCCCCCTGAGGGACATCTTGGGGGCCTATTGAGGGCCTCTTGGGGGTCTCTTGTGGACCTCTTGGGTGCCTCTTGCGGGCCTCTCGCAGGCCTCCTGGGTGCCTTTGGAGGCCTGCAGGCGGTCTCGGGGGCCATCTTGGAGGAAAAAGGGCATGGGATTTCAATGTTTGTTCCTCCTTTTGGGGTTCGCGTTGGGGCCTCCTGAGCCCGCTTGGGGACCCTCTTGGGCCATCTTGGACGATCCTCAGACCGAAATGGTGGGTCTTTGAAGCTCACACCACAGCTGCGAATGTGTAGTGGTTTTTGCCTCTTGAACTGGCCCCCGGAGCCTCCTAGACGGCCGAAGAGGCCAACAAGAGGGCCCCAGCACGGGTTCCGGGCCATTGTGTCGGCCCCCCCCCCGTCTTCTTCATGTCAAGCTTGCACGGTGATTCACGGAGCCCAGACACGTGGTGGTTGCCATGAGCCGATCACCCCTCAAAACCACTGCTGCGAGGAAGAGCAAACAAACGGTTCCTGGGGCAGTCTTCGGCTATGCCAGAAGTGTGATTCCGAGCCACGTGGCCGACGCCTCCAGGAGCGCAGCTCGGGGACTACCGGGAGCGCCCAGGAGCGCGCAGGATCGACCCGAGAGCGTCCAGAGCACGGGGCCTGGGCCCCCTGGGAGAGCACCGACGACACTCAGCACAGAGAGCTCGAAGGGAACAGATGGCGTTCCAGTCCGTGCCCACGAGGTGCGCACGCAGATTCCTGCAGCAGGGGCAGTGGCGGCCAACAGCATCCCCAGCAGACTGGGTCCAGAGGCCAGCCAGTGGAGGCCAGTGCAGGGGAGACGGCTGCTCCGGGCCCGTCGTACCCGGAGTGCACCAGTCATTCGGGGCAACAGAATACACGCTGGTCGTTGAAAGTAGGTATTCTTGGATCCCCAGATCCCAATCTACTTCTAGCGCCTTCCTACTTCAAGCATCGGCATGGTCTTGATGTGTGTTTTTATGTTCTGGGAGGGCCTGGAGCCAGTCTACTTTATCCGCCTTCCTACTTCATGTTTTTACCTACTTCTTCCGGCCGACGTGTACACAGCAAACCAGGGCAATTCCT